CAATTAATTTTGCTTAAAACAAGGGTTGAAGGAGTTAATTTTGTTAAGTCTATTTTTAGTGGGTTAATCATATGTTTTCCCAATTCTTTCAAATCTTTAAGAAGTTGAAAAGACTCTCTTTTGCCTCCTACCTCTCTCGACTTTGCAACCTGTTCCCTTCTCTAAATCAAAATTTTCTCTCAAATTGCTACTGGTGCTCTAAGTCAATCAAAATGTCTCAGACATCATCTTCAACCAAGGCGACTTCATCATCCTCATCATCTTCATCATCTGACCAAGACTCTAGAGCAATCACCACATGCATAGAATCTGAAGTTCTTGAGGTCACTCCTCTCAGAGAGATGGCTACTGACCCCGCCAAAGTCAAAAAGCTGAGAACTAAACATGCAGGAAGAGCTCAAGCTGCAGCCTCTGGTAATCCTTCTCATCCTTCTTCTTCTGTACCAAATAGAGAAGGATCAGTTCAAGTTCATCAAGCTATTGCTAGGCTTGTTACTAGTATACTAAGCGGAAACCAACCTGTACCGGGGATTTCTGTCCCTTTAAATTAATCAGGAAGCCCAAATGTGGACGTCTCTGAGAATGTAGATGTCTCTGAGAATGTTGTGACACAAAATGACAACATTCAGAACCCTTCAGAAAAGACTGTTGATCCACCTATCATTGATGTGGATGAGGATTACTCAGATAATGATCTGATTGCCAATGTAAACCCTAGCATAGCTAGGAGATTGATGAAAAGAAAGGGTAATCAGAATGATGCAAAATGTGTGTCCAAAGATAAACCTGCTGTTAAGAAATCCAAGGCTGAAGGCAAGGCTGGGGTAGAATCTGTGAAAACTGGTCAGGCCAAAGGGAAGGTGAAAGCCCAGGTGCATACTGATAGACAACCAATTTCAAAGAAGAGAAAAGAACCTGAATATTCTGATTCTGATGAGGAATCAGAGTTTGAGATTGATGCTGAAGAAATTCCTATCAGAAGGAAGCTCCCCTCCAACAAAATTGCTAGAGTTCCTGAAGTCCCAACAGACAACATCTCTTTTCATCATCCTGACAATGCAAACAGATGGAAGTATGTTTGCTTAAAGAGAATAGCTTTAGAAAGAGAGCTAAACAATGATGCCATGGAGTGCAAAGACATCATGGACCTGATCAAGAATGCTGGACTGATGAAGACAGTGATAAAATTTAACAAGTGTTATGAAAATCTGGTCAAGGAGTTCATAGTTAACTTGTCTAATGATTGTGCTGATGGAAGGTCAGCTGACTTTGAAAGTGTTTTTGTTAGAGGAAGAAGGGTTAATTTCTCTCCATCAGAAATTAACAAATTTCTTGGAAGAACAAATGAGGATTGTCCTGATCTGGAAGTCACTGACAATGAAGTTTGTCAAACCATCACTGCAAGGCAAGTGAAGTGCTGGCCCTTGAAAGGCAAGTTGAATGCCAGCAAACTTAGCATGAAATTTGCCATCCTGCACAAGATTGGTGCAGCCAACTGGGTGCCTACAAACCATAAATCAACTATCTCCACAGAACTGGGGAGATTTATTTATGCTGTGGGAACCAAGACTGCTTTTGACTATGGCAGGTATATTTTTGAACAAACTTTAAAACATGTTGGTAGTTATGCTGTCAAAGGACCAATCGCCTTTCCCTCCCTCCTTTGTGGAATTATCCTTGCACAATACCCTGATATCTTGGTGGCAAGAGATACAGCTTGCAAAAGAGCTCCTGCCCTTGGGTTGCACTACAAACTGTTTCAGGGATCTCATGCTCCTGATATTGTCATAACATCAGCTGAGACATCGTCTGTGAAGACCCAGTCCAAGACATCTGATGTCATAGCTGTATTAAAAGAGACATGCAAAGAGCTGGAAGCTAGGAAAAAGACCCTAGAAATCCTAATTGCCAGGTTAGAAAAGGAGGAAGCTGAAGGAAACAGAAGGGGGGAGGGTGTAGAAGCTGAAGGTCATCTCAATACTGAAGAAACTAGCTCCTCTGAGTCTGATAACAGTGCTTAAAGGTTGGTTGTTGTTTGGTGGAGTTGCTGATTGGTGGTGGTGATGCTGGTCCCTGGTGGAGTTTGGAAGTGTGTTCAGTTTTTAGCTGCTGCTCTTATTACTTTTTTCTGGATGACTGTATAATTTTTATGAATATGTATCTTTGGCCCATTTGTGGCTAAAGAGGGGGAGATATATTGTGATACTTTATTTTACATTCCATTTTTCTGCAGTCATTTTTATTCTGCTGCTATCTATCTCTGATTGCTTAGGGGCTTTAGCCAAAAATCTGCCAAAGGGGGAGTTTGTAGTTGTTTAGGTATTGGCTTGCATTTTTGGCAAAACCAAGTGTATGTGTGAATGTCATGACTGATGTCATAACATTCTAGTTTAGTTTGTACTGATTCATTAGGTACCTTTACAGAAAAATATTGTCATACAGGTACTGATGTTTATGAGTGTGTATATGAGCATTTTGCAAAATGATCACATTTACCAAAATCAGTAAACAGGAATTCAGATGTCATAACAAATGTTAAGACATCCTGTTCTGATCTAACAGGTTTGCAGTTTGGTTAATTCTGAGTTTTTTCAGGAAAATGACTCAGTCTTTCCAGAACAGAATCCTGCGTTTTCTTTGGGTTAACCTAGCTCAACCCTAACCTGGTTGATAAAGTCCTGTGACCTAGTCTTAAGGTCAAATGGAATTAACCCTAGCTTTTTGGGGAAACCCTAACTGAAGATGCAGCTGCTATATATTCAACAGAGCTGCTGTTTTGAAAGTAATCCCTTTTTGACAGAAGATCATTTAGAAGCTGTATAGTTTTAACTATTGTAATCCAAGCAATTATCATTGTGATAAGTGACTTAGAATAGGTTTTAATTGTAAGGGTTGTGTAACACTCGAAGCTTTGAAGCAAGAGTGTTTGTATGTCTCTTGACTAAAGCTGTGAAGCAAAGTCAAGTTAGGTTTGTGTATCACTCAAAGCTGTGAAGCAAGAGTGTTTGTGTTGCTTGATTAAAAAGCTGTGAAGTATAATCAAGTGTATGTTTTGAAGAGTGTCTTCAACAATTCATTAGTCAAATTGTTTTTATGTATCACTGCTGTGATTGAGGGGGAGTGAGTAGGAACTCAGGTTTAAGTTGTACTTAGATTGAAGTTGCATTGGGTAGGTCTTAAGTGAAGGAGATAAACTGGTTGGTTTATTCCTGAATTAATATCTCTTATAGTGGATTTCCTCCCTGGCTTGGTAGCCCCCAGAGTAGGTGTTGTTGCACACTGAACTGGGTAAACAATTGACTGTGTTCTTTACTGTTTTTGTATTTACTGTCTTATAGAAAGTCAGATACGGTGTCATAATATTGAACGTGACATTGAGTATCTGCAGCCAGAATTTCACATACAATGAGGTCGTAGACCCGTAAAACCGCAATGGTTATCCCTCATATATCAAGGAAAGAGGTAGTCACAACCCTCTCAAGAAATCAAGACAAACCAATGTCACACGATTTGTTCAATCAAAAGAAGAAAAGCCCGCTAAGTCAAGTGACTTAGGAAAAAATTAAGACATCCCGCTAGGCTATCAGTTCAAAAGAATTAATCCAGACAAAAGTTAGAGAAAATAAAATAAAAAGGAATGAAAAGGAAAAGAAAAAAGATTACAAAGAAAGGACCACAAGGAAAAATCCTCAGCAAAGAACAAATATGCGTGACTATAAACACGAAGACAAAATGGGTGATTGATACTCCGAAAGCCACTTTGGTTCCTTAACCATCAAAAAGTCCTTCATGAGAGATGAATACTCATGTTAAATTAATTTAACATAAGACTTGAGAATATCACGAATAATGGGTAAGCACTGTTGCACCCCAAAATTTTCCCTCCTAAGTGTACATTTATCTGACTTAGGCTTAGTGTTGCACTCACATCTTTCCATTAGGTCATTAACATGCATATTACATTCAATAAAGTACCATGAGGTTCAATGTTCAGTGGTTGTGCGATATTAGGGTTTTCACCAGTATTTTAAGGCTACGAAGGTATCTCTTCGAGGTTCATTAAAAGACAAAGTCGTCTTTATCAAAGTTACCTTGAGGGCTAAGTGCACTAGGAACGTGGATGCTAGGGTTTTCATCAATACCTCAAATAAAGATCTAGTGAGCAAAGGTTATTTTGAGCTTGTTAAATCATCAACTGAAGATCATGGGATTAACGTTTGTTTCATGGCTATCTTGAGCATCTTCCTTTCAATATTTCAAGCTATTTCCTCCTATTTTGTGAGATAAGGTGTGGCCAAGGCTATGGAGATATCTTGCATCAAGTCATAATCATATGGGTTTCTCCCCAAGAGTTCAAGGGGGTGGACTTGTATACAATGATTTCTTTGTGGTCTTTGAATCAACACATCTACCCTTATGTTGTGTTCATCAATTAAGACAAGGTTTTGTCAAGAATTATCAGAGAGTGCATTGAGATGTCATTGGGACTACCCTTTATTAATCAACAATTTCATCGGGTTAATTAGACTACAAGGTATTGACTATGGCATTAGTGCGGGCAAGAAAGAATATGGATTTGTCATCAATTTGGGTTTAGTGCATGTTCTTCAATTAACTTTTTATTAGGATGCTATTTGTGATGAACTTGAGATTCAAATATCAAGTTAGGATTTACTAGATGCAAGCATGGAAATTACACGAAGACTATATGAAACAAGAAAAAATCTTTCAACAAGATTCATGGGATTCAATTGGTAAAAGGTTCATGAGTAATGTTCATTGAGTTTTGAATTTGGGACAAAGACAATAAGGCTAAGTTCCATCAAACTACATTCATAATCAAATAACCATAAATTCCATTATCCAAAGTTTATCGAATCTCATTCAAATTCATTTCAACATCCAGCATGCTATAATTCAATTTCAGACTTCACTAAAATTTCATCAGTAACCTTCATGTCCTGTCCAAATAGAAAAAGACCAAAGCAGAAATCACATGATCAAACTCTGACCTACAATCAAAATTCACACAAAAAAAATCAGAAATAATAAGTCGGCTCAGCAATAACAGAAAACTGAATCTCATCAAACTCCAACTAACCTCCTAACTAAATTTGTAATAGAACCGCTAACTGATTTTGCTAATCTCTAAGAAGCTATATAAATAGTTTCATACCAAATTATTATGGCTTCTTCTGAATCTACAGAAGAATCACAAAAAATCTCTGAAAACTCTCATTCTTCTCTCTGCAACTCCACTTCTCGTTCCTTCAATTCTCTGAATTACTCTGCAAGAGCTTCATCGTCATCTTCAATCTTCATCACGTTTCGCCTTCAATCGTATCAATGTAGACATCAGTTTCTACTTCTTCATCTCTACATCGATCCGGAGAAAGATGGAAGGAACGAACGGAGATGGTGAGTTACCTGAGAACGAAGAGTGATATGGTTGAAACCGCGACGAAGAAGCAGATTTGAAGTTGGATCAGTGAGGTATTGTCACGACGAAGGAGAGGCAGAGATGCGGTGGTTTGTGGTGGTGCTCTGTTCGACGAATGAATCAGAAAAAGAGGAGGAGGATTTCGTTCACATTTGAGGGAGAAGGAGGAATGATTTTTGTTCATGGAAGGTGAAGGGTTACAACAAGTGAACCCTAGTTTTTACTCTATACGTTGTGTTTGGACTTGTTCTACGTTTCATTGTTTTTAGTTTTAGTAATAATAAATAATGTCGATTAAAATAAATCAAAAAAAAACTGGACTATGTTGGACTGATATTGTATGCTGGGCCGAGTTTCACTTTGTGGTTAAGTCCAATAGCATTTTTTTGGAACCTACTTACTACGCCACCGGAAATCAGTTTCCCACCCCCTGTTCATAATTTTTAGATTTTTCTATGATTTTTTCCATCAATTTTTGCTAAATATAATTATTGATTTTTAGGAGATGATAAAAAGTACAAAATCAATAAAAATTTGTTAGATTTTCTTTGGGAATTAATTCATGATTATCCGATTACTCGAAACTTGTGATTCACTTTTGCTTGTCGATATTTGAGTCTTATGCAAGTTTATTGTGTGACATGCGGATATGCTTGAGTTTTTCGATTGTGATTTATTTTCACATCGATGATGCTTCGACGCTTATTCCAAGCATTTGATTTATGACTCTTTTCTGTTGCTTGGTGAAGCTCGCTCGAATTTTTCTAGGTTTCTCTTCTTTGCTACAAACTCTTGTTCGTTTGGTATCATTCTGATTATGGTTTATCTTTCCGCATTTTATTTCTTTCTAGAGATCATGAGAAGTAGGATAATAAAGAGCGTGCATTCGAAGTCATTGTTTAAAGACCTGTAGCAGGCATTCCGCACTTATTTGCTACTTGTGTTTATGCTTGTGTTTGCCTCCTTTGTTGACGATCGATGATGTCACTCAATTAAGATAACAACTTCGATCTTTGCATACTCCTCGTAGGATTTCATGGCTTATTGCTTTTGATGATCGATAATTTACTCAATTAGAATTGAGATAACGACTTCGATCTTTGTATGATCCCCTTAGGATTTTATCGTTTTCCTTTGTTGACGATTGATGATGTCACTCAATTAGAATTGAGATAACGACTTCGGTCACATTGCATGTTCCCTATAGGATAGTTATCATTGCCCTTAGGTTTTTGGTATGCTAACTTAGTTAGGACTTCCCTTTAATCTCGGCCTTAGGATCAATCATTGTATGATAATATTAGGGATAGTCTCCCTTAGATGTTTTTTCTTTTATTTTTGCATCATTGCATTAAAACTAAAACTTTCATTTTTTTGCCAAATGCATAAAACATCTAAAAACTTTCAAATCCTTCTTTAAGGTAAAAAACATAAACCAATGTAAACCCTTTTTTCGCCTTCGGGATTTTCTTTTAAACTTTCAAAAGAACATGTTAATTCATTTATGTGCTGACGGTGAATATCCAAAGGTCGAGTTGCGCCAGAAGGTGAAATTAATATTGTTTATTAAAAAACACAAAACAAATCAAAACATGTGAGCCGAACTAGAGTTCTGATTCCTTAAAAAGGATACGTAGGCATCTGGTCACGGGGCTCAGCCGAATGAAACTTTGTAAATATTTCCTTCTTTTCCTCGTGTTTTCTTTCGCATGTATTCCCTCTTTGCGTTTTTTTCCTTAGCTCATAAGTTTTATATTTGGACACACCCTTTGATTAGAAAACCAAGAGTGGATACTGTAGAATATTACGGGCGTGTGGGGTGCTAATACCTTCCCCTCGCGTAACAAACTCCCTTACACGATCTCTCAGTCGTTTGATTGTGATTTCACCCTTCTCAGGTTTACTCGATATTTACCTTTCCCATGCAGTGGGATAAAAACCTTCGATGGCGACTTCATTGATTTCATCTCGATGATTTGCTTAGCCGGTTGTTTTAGGCACCAATAAACTTTGAGCCTTAAAATATTTTTTTGAAAACCGTGAACCAGGCCATGTTACAACCCTCAAAAGTCATAATTAAAGTAAGGTTTATTTCGAAATCATATTTCAATGAGATAGCTTTTGTTATCTTTCATACAAAAATAAATGTTGCGCTAACTGGTGATTCATTCGAGGGATTTTGTGATACCTTTTCAAATAAAATCTTCAAGACTTACATAATTGTTGCATTAGAATTTTCATTCTCAGAATAAACATTTTCTGCTTGCAAAAACATTTGCTTAATATCAAGGAAGCTTACATATAAACACCAGTGATGAGTTTAATCTTTTGAGGCTTGAAAATTTGTAGAGTAATTGATGAATAATTTCAAAGAATGATCACATCCAGGGGCATAATTCCTGAAGACTTTAAGCATGGTCAGGTTGCTTTACCAGTTGATGCTTTTAAAGTTTGTTTACTCTTATGGGGGAAAGTTTGAGGACTCTGTTGTGCCAAATACAATAAAACCTGGGGGTAATCATATAAGGATTAAAATTAGAAAGGATTGGAAAGTAAAGGATTGATTGCGACTTTGTGAGTCTTAAAGAATCTAGATCGCAAGTATACAGTCCTGTCGCGTGTAGCTTTAAAGATTATCAAATCCAAAGGGACTAAATGTCGAACTACCGTTATCTTAGGTTACTACATAAATATAAGGCTAATAATGTAATTAATAGGGGGTTTAGGGAACCTAACTGATTATAATCTAGTTTAGATTCAAGGGAGAATATCGGTATGTAATGGTCGGACTTCGGGGATTTGGAAACTCATTGACCTAACTCAGATTAACAAAACAGTTTTCAGTAGGAAGTATTTGTTTGAAAATCCTCTTCTCACACTCTCGTGTTTATTGATTCAGATCCTACGATCAAACCTAAGTGAGTGCTCTCACTGTTTCAATTAGAGTTTAAAAATAGTTTTTGGAAACAAACAAAACCTAATCAACTTAAAAGCGCTCTCGCTGTACTTTAAGTTGATGCACAATTACCACTGTCCAGTTATTATCTCAAACTCTCGTTTTATTGATCCTAACTTCTATCTGTATTTTACTCTCGTAACAAAAAAATTAATATTTAGAACTAGTAATTAAAACCAGAAAATTATTCTATTTTTTAAAGGAACTAATCAATTGGCGTTGCTAAACCCCGTTGGCTATATGACCTTACATGCCGATAAATAAATTTAGCCTAGCATGTTAGACAATTCAATAACAGCGCAACAGAAATAACTACCATCAAACAATTTAAATAAACTAAACATTTCAGACAATCCTGGCATAAATAAATAAAGTACTTAAATTAAACCTGAAAATATTATGGCAGAATATTTGGCTGATATCAGATGTCTCCCACAGATCGGTAAAGAAAATAATGCAGAAAGAAATAATGCGGAAAATATTCGGCAAAGTAACAGTAAAAACAGAGAAAAGAAAACATGTTTAAAAATGGGGATTTGAGGTCCTATTTATATGCTTGGAGACGCGCATGGAGTTGAGATATTTTCTCCTCCAGATTTGCCTCCGTAGCGACCGCTACAGATTGAAAGACTCAGTGTAACGGTCTTTACACTCCTTCTTTTGCGGAGGGACTAGCGCTGCAAGGTGTAATGGTCGTTACACCCCTTACTTTTGAGGAGGAACTAGCTTGGCAAGGTGTAACGGTAATTACACTGGGGTTAGGTGACGTGTAACGGTCGTTACACCCATTGGACCTTGGGTGGATTGGGCCCAACGTGTATTTCTTCTTTTGGTCTTCCCAGGCTTATTACTTGTAATGCACCCAGTTTTGCCACACACCCCTCAATTGCATAATTTCTCTTTCTTTGTGCGGATTTTAAATACGATTAGCTCGACTTTTCTTGACTTTCTTCGCACATGTCTTGCAAACATCAAATTCCTGAAAACATAGAAAATAGCAGCATAATACGAATAAAGAGTAATTTAATTAATTAAAATGCGGATAAAATTCATGTAAATTGATCCAAATATTCGATACATTTCTGGTTTATCAAACTCCTCTACACTTGAACCTTTGATTGTCCTCGAGCAAATTGTAAAAAACAAAATTTTAACACACAATTTCTGAAGATGTGAAAAACACAAGAAGGGGTTTGAATTGTAAAACTTAAAACAAATGCTTTGACAACACAGTATTTTTATCATGGTTCGTTTGATCTCAAACTACTCCAGTCCACCCGTCAAGGTGATTTCGCCTCTCTCCAACGAGGTCTTAATCCACTATTTTCAAAGGATTACAACAGCTACTTTAACAACTGTTAAAGTCTTCTTGAGTATAACCACAAACCGGTTTATCTCAAGGAAATCTTTCACAAATAATTGAACAAGGATGTGTTAACATTTTCTAACAAAATAATATATCACAACTGTGATAATTACACAACTTAAGCTTGGAATAAACTGAATTTTCTAAATCGTTTGAATAAACGTGGTTTTGAAGGCTTGGCAAATTTTGTGAGTGCATGCGTGCGTCTTTTCTCAAGCAGACTTGTTTATATAGGCAAGGCAAAGATACGTTGTCCATAAAGCCAGTTTAATGACAATAACGCACTTTCCTTTTGAAGAAGATCTTGTCTGAAGAGAGCCGTTAGAATTTGATTCTGTCTTGAATAATTAATAACGCTTCAGAGTCTTTTTTGCTTTAACTTATGATAACGCTTCAGAGTGTTCTTTGCTTTAACTTATGATAACGCTTCAGAGTGTTGATGACATGGTAAAGATATTTGATCAGAGTCAGAGTGTATTGTTTATGCGCAGATTATGGTCATCAAGCTTCAGCGTATAATCTGGTAGCTTCAGCGTGTAGCACATATTACTGATCTTCTGATGCTGATTCCATCAGAACTTCTGTATATACAAAACATAATTTTAAGAAGCATATTTGTTATATATATATATATATATATATATATATATATATATATATATATATATATATATATATATATATATATATATATATATATATATATATATATATATATATATATATATATATATATATATATATCTTTGAATTTATTTATTCTTTGTATTTTGTTATCATAAAAACTCTAATCAAGGGTTGTAGAATCAAACTATGTTCTAACAATCTCCCCCTTTTTGATGATGACAAAAACCAGATTTTT